TTTGAAACCAGAGGTATCCAGGCAAGCCCAAGAATATACCAATGTCAGCTTGTTGCCAGTCTCACCTAGGTATACCGTCACAAAAATGAATGTCTTCAGTAAAATTTTATAGCAAAATAGCTAGTACATGTGAATTGTCCCAACATAGCGTCACACCCATTTTGGTACCAAAAATGTGTATTTTTTAACCCCTGCATATCATTCTGTTGGACTTTCAGAAAATAAAAAGCTGTACTCATTTATGTATTGTAAAGAGCTGTTTCTTTGTTTTGTTCTTGCAGTTTAATTAACAACAAAAGTTTTTCCTTGCCTTATTTTTACATGAGGAAGCAAAAAAGCCCCAAATCCATCTTTCCACCTTGTTTTTACAAAATACCATTAAAAGAATGCTATTAAAACAAACAACAATTAAGAAATTGCTAAGAAAAAGGTATGTTAAGCTTCATGACATTGAGGAGAGCCAGAGAGACAGTAATGGACATCTAAAGTTTTAAGAACTCAAAATACAGGAGGTTGACTGACTGAACCATCAGCTGATGAGTCTATCATCAGTTCTAATGCCAGTAGTCATGACTTCTTAGTGGCCATCACTAACAGGTTCTAAAAATAGTTGATACATACCATGACGCCTAGCAATTCCTGAACAGACACATACAAGAGACAGCAAGATATAAAAGGCCACCTTTAAATGTTGTCATGACATTGCCATGAACATACTAAAATGCTTTTGAAATCATCTCCTTAATATTAAGTTGTGATTCTCTCAGATATGACTTATTTGACTACATGACAACTTCTTCCTTCTTGACAGGCTGTAATGACAAGATGTGGTATTGAAAATATTCTTAAAATTAATACTAGATATCTGAGAAATCTAGAAAATAATCTTATAATTGATGTATCCATTTAATATATAGTAATAAAATTATAACGCATACTTCCTGTTCATGCTGTAACAGTCAGTCAAAGAAAAGCAATGTTTTAATTTAAGAGGATGCTTCAAAAGAACAAGGAACTGTCATTTACTCTCAGGGTACCTGATCCTGTCTGTACTTACATTCTGAAATGTGCCTTTGAAGACAAAAAATTTGGCAGTCACCTTACAGCTAAGACAAATACTTTAAAAACAAACAAACAAACCCCCAAACCCCCAACCTTTTGATCTTGTAACAGTCTCACTTTTCAATCTGCTGAGCACCCACCATCTGAGTGGAAGCACAGGTTCCCAACCCTCTCAGTTAAGGGCCAAGTTAAGTCCTACTGTCAGTATTCAAAAATATTTAGGCACTTCCAAAACTGGTGCCAGACATTTTCAAAAAAGGGGTTTTTTGTTCTGAAGAAACTTCTGAGGCTACTCTATGGCAGAGCGTGAAAAGAAACCAAGATAATTCCTCCAGCCATTTACTCTGATCAGCCATAAAATTTAGATGGACACAACAAAACCAATAAAATCAGACAACACCTTTCTCCCCATTGGGCCTGTGTAGGTGTCCTGGTTTCGGCTGGGATAGGGTTAAATTTCTTGCTAGTGCTGTGTTTTGGATTTAGTATGAGGA